TTACTGTCTAACTTAACTCACTTATTGAGCTGTTTTAAACACTGTCTGGTCATTCTTTCTTTTTCTCCCTTCTTATTCCTCCTCCTCCACTCTTTGTATGTTGGTTGTTTTATTCTGTACTCTTTTGTGCTTCCTTTAACTGCTTTTGTGGGTAGTTAATTTTATTTTTTGCCTTTAGTTAGTATTTGGTTGGTCTGCTTTCTTTGCTGTAATTTTATTTTCTCTGGTGACATCTATTTAGTCTTAGAAGTGCTCCCATCTAGAGCAGTCCCTCTAAAATACCCTGTAGAGGTGGTTTGTGGGAGCCAAATTCCCTCAACTTTTGCTTGTCTGGGAATTATTTAATCCCTCCTTCATATTTAAATGATAATCATGCTGGATACAGACAGTATCCTTGGTCAAGGCCCTTCTCTTTCATTGCATTAAATATATCATGCCATTCTCTTCTGGCCTGTAAGGTTCCTGTTGAGAAGTCTGATGATAGCCTGATGGGTTTTCCTTTGTAGGTGACCTTTTTCCTCTCTCTAGCTGCCTGTAAAACTCTGTCCTTGTCCTTGATCTTTGCCATTTTAATTATTATGTGTCTTGGTGTTGTCCTCCTTGGATCCTTTCTGTTGGGAGTTCTGTACACTTCTGTGGTCTGATTGATTATTTCCTCCCCCAGTTTGGGGAAGTTTTCAGCAATTATTTCTTCAAATATACTTTCTATTCCTTTTTCTCTCTCTTCTTCTTCTGGTACCCTTATAATGTGGCTATTGTTCCTTTTGGATTGGTCACACAGTTCTGTTAATATTGTTTCATTCCTGGAGATCCTTTTATCTCTCTCTGCGTCAGCTTCTATGCATCCTGTTCTCTGGTTTCTATTCCATCAATGGCCTCTTGCATCTTATCCATTCTGTTTATAAATCCTTCCAGAGATTTTTCATTTCTGTAATCTCCCTCCAGACATCTGTAATCTCCCTCCGGACTTCATCCCTTAGCTCTTGCATATTTCTCTGCATCTCCATCAGCATGGTTATGAGCTTTATTTTTAATTCTTTTTCAGAAAGACTGGTTAGGTCTATCTCCTTCTCAGGGTTTGCATCTGTGATCTTGGTCTGTATCAATTTCTTCTGCCTTTTCATGGCAATAGATATATTTGTGGGGAGCTGGCACGTGTGTTGGGTAAGAGAAAGTCCCTTCTTGCCAGTTTATGGCCTTCCTCTCCTGGGAGAACAGCGACCTCTAGCGGCTTCTGCTGGGCAGCTGCGTGCAGACAGGGCTTCTGATTCTTGCCCGGCCGCTATGGAGTTTAGCTCCGCTGTTGCTGTGGTTGTGACCTGCCTCGGGCTGCTGCTCCAATATAGTGGAGCCACGTTGGAGGGGGAGCGGCTGGGAGGCTGTTTATCTCCATGAGGGGCCTCCGAGCTGCGCTGCAGGGGTTCAGGTGCCCAGAGTTCCCCAGAATTTGCGCTGCTGGGCTAAGTGTCCCAGGGCGCTTCTGTCCAGCTGTTGGGTCCCTGTCCTTTTAAGACTTTCAAAAAGCACTTGCTTTTCTTTGTCCCAGGTGCGTTGGCTGCAGGGACCCGCTTACAGGTCTTACTGTCCTGTTTCCCTAGTTTCCAGTACCCCACGCACGCACTGTGTCTGTGCTCTGGTGCGGATGGCTAGGGCTGGGTGATTAGCAGTCCTGGGATCCCTCTCCCTCCCCGCTCCGACTCCTCTCCTCCTGCTGGGAGCTGGGGTGAGGGGTGCTCAGGTCCCGCTGGGCCGTGGCTTGTCTCTTACCCCCTTCGCAAGGTGCTGGGTTCTCGTGGGTGTGGATGTAGTCTGGCTGTTGTCCTGTGTCTTCTGGTCTCTCTTTTACGATTAGTTGTATTTGTTGTATTTTCAAAAATATATATGGTTTTGGGAGGAGATTTCTGCTGCTCTACTCACACCGCCATCTTGGTTCTCAAGTGGATCATTTTTTAATCAGCATCTTTGTTCTGCAATAGGGATACAATATAACTAGGGTCACAACATAATTTATTGCCCAAATCCTGACACTTTGGAGAATGCTGAGGAGAGTTATTAATAATTGGGCATGCACAACAGGTATAAAATAGAACTGTCTTAGGCAAACTAGAATGTAGTCATCCCAATTAAAACCAGAGATAAATGAGGACTCAGTCATCCATTAATAATCCTAATCAGAATGACATGGAAGGAAGGACCCAGCAATTCTTAGTCTGTACTGTAAATAAAATACTAAATTGTCCTGGAAGTCTCATAAAATGGACAAAATAAGCTATATTCAGGGAATTAAAAATACATCCAGAGATACAATGTGTTTGTTTAGCATATAAAAATATGATTTTATTGCATCATAATTTTCTCTTTTATAAAATTAATATGATACTCTAGTAAAGATTAAACTCTTAATTAAAAATAGTTGTCGTCTTTCATTTTAGTAGTTTTTTTATGCAATGACTTAAAGATTTCTGCTGTCTTTAAAAGGCAGGCTGTCTGGGGAGATTTGAATACATGTCCTTCTTCATAAATTTCTGAGACAGCAAAGAATGTTCAGTTTTTCCATTTTTATTCATCTGTCTACCTATTCATTAACAGTCCATCCATTAAGTCAACAACTCTTTACTGAGCAGTTGCTGTGTCCTGAGCCTGGTGCTGTGAGAATACAGCCACCATGGGATGCGGTTCCTGTTTCTTTGTATCTGTTTGTCTCTGCTTCAGCTGTCTTGCTTTTTCATCTCCTTCTGTTTTTTCCCCCCTATATCTTTGAAGCAAACTCTGTGGGATTAGGTCCCTCAGTTTCTGTATTTGGTAAAGGATTTGACTATTCAGTCAGATGTTATAAAAGTCTTAATAGAGTAAGACACATATGTGACCCATTTCCAAAAAAAATACACTTCAGGAAGAGATATCCTAAGTTAACAACAGAGAAAGAAGAGTGTTACTGAACACAACTTTCCACCGAGCATGAGCATTAACAGAATGTAAAGTAGTTAAGTAGGGCTGGAAAAGTGAATGCAAGTGACAGAGTGGAAGTAGGCATTGGTGAATGGCAAGAAATCTGGCTCCAGAAATAAGCAAAAGTCTTATAAGCTCTATTTATAAGCTCTCATCATTAAACTTTATTCTGAAGGCAAAGTCTTTTTTTTATATTAAAGTTATCAACATTTATTTGAAATTAAATAATTAAAAGATATTACTTTATTACATTAACAGGTTGATATTTTAGATTTATTTATATTTAGGGTTTTTTTTTTGCTATCATTAATGTACAATTACATAAACAGCATTATGGTTACTAGACTCCCCCATTATCAAGTCCCCACCACATACCCCATTACAGTCACTGTCCATCAGCGTAGTAAGATGCCATAGAGTCACTACTCGTCTTCTCTCTGTTTTACTGGAAAGCAAAGTCTTTTTAAGGTTTGTTTTAATCAAGGTAGTGATGTGGTCCTATTTACCTCCTACAAATCCTATTTACCTCTTGAGAAGGTTGTTTGGAAGGGAGATAAATATGAATGATGGCAGAGCAGTGATGGTTTTAGAAATCCAATGATAGCGACCTGGACTAGGAGCTGGAGAGAAGTGTATGGATTCCAAGAAATAGCAGGTTTAGTGACTGAATGTGGGTCCAGGGGGTTACATGTTGTTTCTAGGTTTCTCTTACTTGAAAGATTGGACACCTTGGCAACATTTACTAAAATGGTAAGTGGAAAAACACAGGGTGTTAGCAGATTTTTGCTTACGCCTGTGGGTGCAATCAAAGTTGGTATCAGTCTTCTAGAAACAATCAGAGTAGCAGTCTAATGTTCAGATTCCCTCTCTAAAGGCTTTGGTTGTGAGCATTTGGAGAAGCGAAGCTTATCACAGCTGATTTTAATAATTAATTTTCTTTGCTTTTTCTTTGGTGGGGGGCCTTCCCAGTGACAAGAGTCACTTTGCAAAGAAAGAGAAATCACAATCACAAAGGACAACCTGAAGTATGTGTGTGTTTGTGTGAGTGAGAGAGAAAGAAAAAGAAAAAGAGAGAGTATGTGTGTAAGTGGTGATGGCCAAATATGGTGTCAGTGGTTCATTGATTGGTTCATAAACCTTTGGCCTCTCTCACCCCGCTAGCAGAGAGACTGAACAGTAGGGAAAAGCCAAAGTTGCATAGCATCCAGATTAAGAGAATTCTAGGGTCTGATTGCCTGGCTTCCTGTTCTGGCTGTGCTACCTAACTAGTTGTGAGATCTTAAACAAGTTAGTTCATCTCTTTGTGTCTGTTAGTTTCTTTATCTGTACAATGGAGATAATAATAGTACTGACATCATTTTAAAGTCTTACATAAGTTACTGTATGTAAAATACTTATAATGAGTTACTGTATTTACCATGTTTACAGCAGTGTGTGGTACTCCTATTGTAACAGGTTTTCTTTAGGCATATGGAATGAGCAAAGCCATGTAGGTAATATCAGGGTCTTAATCTGTGAGAGGATTGATGGAACTACACTGTAATGACCTTTTTGTCCTGTTTCTAAGATTTTAGACCCTTTAGATAACACATATCACATGGGTTGGGTCCCTACAGTTTGTTTCTGTCGGGATGAGCAGTCTTAGTGATAACGGCAGAGGCAGTCATGAGATTGGTAAGAAGAGCTCACGTATAACCTCCCAGCAGCCTTACGAGGTGAGGAAACTTTACCACCCAGCTCTGCAGGTGAGGAGACAGGCTGTTGGAGAGGTCTGGAGCTGCCAAGGCCACCGAGCTAGTGAGTACCAGAGCTGGGGAGCCATCCAGCCCATCTAGCTGGAGAGCCTGTGCTTTTCAGCCGCTTCCCTCTACGGCCTCTGTACAGTGTGCTTAAATAGTCTTTGTTCAGTCCGCAGCCCCTCACAAAAGAGCCAAACCTGGCTTTATTTTCATTAATGGTGATTAGTTGTTACCTTGATTATAAGGGTTTGAAACTTCAGGTCTGGGTAGTAGAAGATATCATTAAACATTTTTTTTCCTTTTCTCTTTTAGGTATCAGTTTTTCTTGCAGGTGAAGCAAGATGTCCTTCAGGGCCGGCTGCCTTGCCCTGTCAACACTGCTGCTCAGCTGGGAGCCTATGTCATCCAGTGTAGGTTTTCCTTAAGCGAGTTTGCTTCAGATGTCTTGAGAAAACGTTTGAATTTTTCTTTTTTAGGAAGTGTATATACTAAAATTCTGGTAATCAAATGACATTTTGCTAAAAAATAAAATTCCATGTAGTGAGAATTCAAGTTTAGTCAGTGTCCCTTCAGAAGAAGTAAAAATGAAGCCAGTTACATATCCCTTGTAATGGGTCACCTGAAGTTTAGTTACAGGAATAACATGATGCTCAGTTACGTGGAGGGTCTGAAAATCTGTTCTGTTCTGCATCCCACCCGAGTTCATTGATCCCCTGAAGCTGTTACGTTTCAGAGATCACATGCTCCCAGGCAGCTGTCATAAAAGCTCTGTTTGGTCAGGTGCCAACACCAGTTCTGAGTGTGGCTTATGTTTGGTTACGCATTGTGCTTCCGCTCATGGCATCATCATGGTGGCTGGTGGCGGGGCAGCTCCAGGTTATATGGTCATTTTGGAGGCTGAAGCTGTTTCCTCTTAAGAATCAAGCTTGGTGTGGGAGCAATGAGACAGCACTTCCCTTGTCTCTGTGGTACTGGAGACTGGAAATAGTCTAGAAAAAACATACCAGGAAAATGTCACATAGATGAACTGGGTTAGGCTTGGAAGGTGGATTAGCATAGGGAGGAGAATTTTTACAAGCATTATATAGTGAGCTTTCTTTCAGGTTTCATTTTGCTTCTTTGTGTAAACTGTAATGGGGTTATGTGCAGCACTGTATTACAGTTCCATGACCAGTATTTGGGGCATATGTGTTTTGAATCAATGCTCTATCTCTTAGTGTCATTGTCTGAGAGGATGTATTGGGGTAATGTTTATTTCTCACCTATAGCATTTCCAATATATGTACTCTGAATTCTGTTTACAACATTTTATTTCATATAAACTGATAAGATTGAAATGGAAATGCTAATTACAGTTTTCCAGAAAGCAAAAATAAGGAACTTATGTTTTTAAGACAGGGTTTTTATACCATCCATATATATTCACCAAAGTTGTTTTTTTACTAAAATCAGTTTCTTTTATATGAATTTAAGGCATATGAAGAAAATATTCATTATAGGAATAATTTTATTTCCTGTATTTTTAGTAATACTTTTAAGCAAAGTTTTCCTAAAATGGAAAAAAAATTAGTTTCTTTCTTTTTTAGCTGAACTTGGAGATTACGACCCTTATAAGCATACTGCGGGGTATGTGTCAGAGTACCGGTTCGTTCCTGATCAGAAGGAGGAACTCGAGGAAGCCATAGAAAGGATTCATAAAACTCTGATGTAAGAATCACATTTTATTAACTATAATCAATGTGCTGTACATCAGATCCCCAGGACTTCATTCATCTTACAAGTAGAAGCTTATGTCCTGACCAGCATCTCCCCACTTGCCCCACCCCCAGCCCCTGGTAACTACCGTTCTAGTCTCTGTTTCTTCAAGTTGGCTTTTTTAGGTTCCACATATAATTTAACACCATTCAGTGTTTGTCTTTCTCAGACTTACCCACTCAGCATAGTGCCCTCAAGGTCTGTCCATGTACTTTAACGTTGGTAAGAGTAGATCTTAAATGTTCTTACCACAAATAAGAAATGGTGGCTATGTGACAAGATGAAGGTGTTAGCTAAAGCTATAGTAATAATCATTTTGCAATATGTAAGTGTGTCAAATCAACACATTTTACGCCTTAGATTCATGGTATTATATGCCAATGGTATCTCAAAAGCTGGAAGAAAGAATCATGTCTTATGTTGCATCATCTGTCAACCATCATCTTATGCTAATGGCAGACTTAAGAAAAGTTTTTAGAATAATAAATCCTTCATGTGTGCCTTGAACATTCTAGCATTCTTTTCTTTTTAAAGTTTTTCCTGCTTGTAACACTAAAATGCTCATAGAAAACCCAAACAATTTAAAAAGCCAAAGGAGAGGGTAAATCTCTGTACTTAAATTCAACATATTTTTGGTTAATGGCCCTGCAGACCACTCTCTCTACATAATATCCCATAGAGAAAATTTACTTTGTATACTTTTATGTGTGTATGATTTTACATAAATAGTATCATTTTGTATATACTGCATAATCTTTTTTTTTAGTCACTAGTACCTTGTGAAATTATTATTTTTAACTATATAAATATATTTTGAAACCACAAAATCCTAAATATATTCTGGATTTTCTTCATCTTAGGTATGTAAATATTTCAGTTTTAAGCAAAATCCTGTTCAGCTATAGCAAGGAATCTGGAAGTCATGATGACACTTCCAGGTGTGGAGCCTCAGAGGGTATTATGTTAACACCACATGCACTTCTGAGAATATACATGCTTCTCTAGTAGGATTTTCAATTAATGGCCTGCAGCATTGAAACTATAATTTAATTATAGTTATTTTGGTTAAATCCTTTATACCGATTAACTTTGCTTTATTGCGTCTTACGTAACATTCCCTCTTGAATTTGCATGGTTTCAGATCTTTTACAGTTAAGAAAAAAATGTAGAATTAATCTGGTCAACAAAAAATGTTTGCCTGAAGGATCCGTTTCAGTGAGTAGTAGCAAAAGTCAGTTGCTGCACTGCGATCAGAGAGATCAAGCTCTCGTGATGTATTAGCATGCGCCACGATGCCCTCCAGCCTGATTGCAGAGTCCTCACTCTAAGGTTTCGCTGAAGTGGATATTCCAAAAGTGCCTGTTATAACATTATGAAGGGCAGTGTTTGGGGCACATTCTGAGAGTACTAATTCTCAGGAACTAGGAGTTTCAAAGTATAATTATATTTTGAAATTATCAAGGAGCTCTGGGTGAAGGACCTTAATATGTTTTGTGCCATGGTGTTGACAGTGTTACTATTATTTCTAAGGAAATCAAGCTTGGTTAAGATTTGGTAGCTTCACTGTGTCTAATCTGTGATGAGCATTCTTCATAGATTTCAAAAGCATGGTATATCGCTGGGTTTTCCAGGGCACCATAGCTGAAATATGGGAATGCATCAAAGAGGGATTTTATAATTTGTAAAAATCCATAACATTAAAAATCTCTTTTCTCTCTTACACACACACACACACACACACACTCTCTCTCTCTCTGTCTCTCTCTGTCTCTCTCTCTCTCTCTTCTAGTTATCTATGGAGATTCCTGGCAGATGCTCACCCTTGTTAGGAATGAATGCTGTTTCCTGTATATTATCGCCAGTGATGATTTTGGGAAGATATCTGTACTTTGTATTAAGAAAATGACAAGTATTTTTGCAATTTTTAAATACTAATGAACGCATTTGCAATCTACACATGTGCTCAGAAGCTGATGAGGATCCCAGTTGGGTGGTGGGGAGCCCCTCTTCTTCTCCCTCCGCTTCCCTGCTCTCATTGCTTCCTTCCTGGTACAGAGCTGCTGGTGCATGGAGACATCTTGCTCATTGTAAAGGGTATGCTTTTTAGTTTGAGTGTTTATATTCTCAATAATCTCTTTGGGGTTTCTGAAACTGAGAATTTTAAATATATGCTGGGACATTGGGGTTGGCTATCATGAGCGACAATAGCTTTGGTAAGTGAAATTGACCTAATGCAAATATCATCATAGGGTATGAAATTTTGTCACCAGCAAGGTAAGGGCCTTCTTGAGACAAAGACTTATGCTTGTACTAGCACGGAGGATTACTGACTTTTCCAGGGGTCATGCAGGAGATGGTTTACAGTCCCTGTAAGTACAGTGGCTATTGGTAAAGTGAGGCTTTGTTTTTATGCTGGTGTGTAGGGGTCAGGCTCCTTCTGAAGCAGAGCTAAATTACCTGAGGACTGCCAAATCCCTGGAGATGTATGGTGTTGACCTCCATCCCGTCTATGTGAGTAACATTTAATTAACACAAAATATTTTAAGCTGATGACATTTTTCTTTAAAAGTCACTAAAACTTCCAACGGAAAGCTGTTGTCCTGTTGTTCAGCCAGCAGATGATACTTTTTCATCTGTGTTATTTGAACACAAAGCATCTCTTGTGTGGGTTAAACCCTAATGAGTTTTGCATAAAAGTCTGAGATTATATTTCCATGTGTAGAAAACAATTAACTGGGCTTGAAAATGCAATCTGGATAACAGCTCCAAAGGGCTTAGCTAAACATCAAAGCAACATAAAATTGGTCTATAATTGATTGTACTAAACAGAAAACAGGAGGATTTTCCAAAAATAGATTTTATGGCTGAAAAAACATAAAATCACTTGCCAAGTAAAGTAGGCTTTAGACAACAGCATAGGTGCACCTATTGGGGCTACTATGTTGCATGTCAATATTAGGGTTACTGCTTATTGTAGTTATCACCACTGCATTAATAGAAATATTCTTGCAGATTTTCTCTAGTGTCTGATGAAAACTTGCCGAATATAGTCAGTGAGCAATTACACTAAATCTATGTTGAATGTTCTCCATCCAGGTGCTAACCTTTGAGCCACTTCCCTGAAGTTACCAATTGAGACTGAAGTGTCCTTGCCTTTCATTTTATAAAAATTTAGTAAAATAGTCCAAGCTGATTATTTGAGAAAATGACTACCTGCCTTATTCTTGACACAAAATGAATTGCTAAAGATTATATATGGACTGAATGTTTACCAATTGCATTATGGAACTCAATTTTTAAGGAACCCTGATAAAACTTACTGTAATGCAAATAATCCATTCATGCACTCATTTTGTAATATGTCTTTTGCTCATTAGAGTGTCCTAAAATAAGAAATCACTTCATATTATTTGTAAAGAGTTAGGAGCAACTCTAGGTATACTGTTACTGTGGCAATAAAAGTTACATATTTTGGGGAAGTAGTACCCTGATATATTAGATTCCAATCTCATTACATCATTAAATGCTCCACACTACTGTCCTTTAAGAACACCTGTAAAACTTTATGGAATTGTTATCTTTTTTCCTTTATAGCCACTTTAATCTTGTTAGGTTTTTAGGTTTTTAAAAAATATTTTACAGTAGATGTATAAAGAGAGAGTCTTCTGCATTTGTGTAATGTTTACCCTAATTTACACACACTTTTGTGGTTGGTGGGAATTTATGGCAAATGAACTGGATTCATTAGAATCTACCATACATTCCTTTAACATCAAGTTTTTGAACTGAGAGTGGGCAACAGCTGGTATTCCAAAATATCTTAGTTGTTTTATTTCCTTGGGACTATGACTTTGCAGGCTATTATTTGACTTCAGAATAGAAGTAAGATTAATACAAATGGACAGTTTCTGTGCACCTTCTTGGTACCCACTCTTTTTGTGACTTTTTAATTTCAGAATCCCATTTTCTTAATTGGGATTTATCATTATCTGAAAATAATGGGTCTCCAGTCTTTACTGGAAGAGATTGTATTTTTAAATTTTTGAGCAGTCTTAAAGTCACAAATGCGTTAGGAGGGAGTAAGACAGAGAACTCAGAAAATCCCAGTGCGTGCAGGCTGCTGCCTGAACTTTCTGGAGAGGAGGTGGTAGTGAACCCAGCCTCGTGATTGTCCTCATCAGAGAGTTATGATTAACATGAGCCCTTGGAAGGGAACCTTGATCAAAACCAGTGGGCCTCAGTCCTTGGCTGTGCAGGAGAATACCTGGGGTTTTATGCATCTTTGATAACCTGGGGCACTTCATTATAGACTACGATTTAACTGGTTTTGGTAGCGTCCAGGCATCAGCACTTTAAGCTGCCTGGTGATTTCAGTTTTCTGAGGCATAGCTAGGGTTGAATACCCCTGAAGAAGCAACATGGGGTGAGTCAGTTAGTAGCCTAGTTGGTAGTCCAGGCTCTTGTAATGAACTGAAGTTACACATATGAATAACTAAGAAAATTTTTCTTAAACTGAAAAAATGAGCAGCAAGATGTCTTTCAAAAACTAAGTTCAATATTAATGCAACAAAGTGTGGTTGTATGGCCAGTTGTAGCTTGACATGGAGCTTTTACATGAATAAATTCATGTTTATAGGTGTATGCTTTTGCAGGGAGAAAACAAATCTGAATATTTCTTAGGATTAACTCCAGTTGGTGTTGTCGTCTACAAGAATAAAAAACAAGTGGGAAAGTATTTCTGGTAAGTGTAACTTGAGGGCAGAGTTGGTATTAAAGTTACACACTGTATGTATTGGGCTTGTGGGGCTTGTGTGTCAATGAAGGGGCTGGAGAAAAGAAAACAGGTATGTTTCCAGTGGATGGTAAACAAATGAGTGGAACTGGGTATAAGTTTTCTCCCAGTGCATCTCAGAGATACATATTTTTTCTCTGTAAACTTCAGGTACTGTGATTCTGGACTCTCTTGTCCATGGTAGTTATAAGTAGTAGGATTTCCTACTTGTTTCAGTGTGTGCTGGTAGCCCGTGGACCCAGGACTACTGCTCTGGGTCCATGTAATGAGAGATTAATTCTAACTCTAACTGGGGGAGGATCTGAGAGATTTGGTAGCCTATGGCACTATACTGTGTCTGGAAAGCGGTGCTTTAGGTGATTCCAAGCTTGTCTGTACTGATGGGCAAAGCACAGGAGAATGAGAATGGAGTTTTGTTTAGGAAGGTGTCCGGAGCAAAGGACTTACAAGGAACCCTCTGTAATCATTGTAGCAGTATATGAAGGAGCCAGTATGACTAACTGTTTTCCACTGGCTACTTCTCAGAACTTCTCAAAGATTAATTCTTAGAAACAGCACCACCACCACCATCTACTTTGTTTTCCAGGCCCCGGATTACAAAGGTTCACTTCAAGGAGACACAGTTTGAACTCAGAGTGCTGGGAAAAGATGTAAGTTTTTATCAAGTGCTTAGCTTAACTGAGAAGGAAAGTCTGGTCTGCTCATTGATAGCTTAAAATATTAAAAGATATTGTGAAGTAGAATTTCCATGTTTTCTTCAGCTGCGGTCACATGGAACCAGGTTAACTGACTCATGCACAACTTCTTCTCAAGGGAAAGGTAAGTAAGGAGAAATGAGTGAGTTGGTAATTGAGAAATGTCATTTTAGTTTTAACAAAGGGAATAAACAAACCTTTCTAGGGCATAGGAGAGCATAGGAGGTGATTCTCATCATTAGCCCAGCTTGCTCTTTGAGTACTGCCTGTCAAGGTAGGATTCGTATAATCAGAAGAATGGACCTGTATACAGGATAAAAAGTGTCCTGTTTTTGTCCCAAAGTAAATTAAACAACCTGTAGGGAGTCACACTTCTGCTCTTTCCCTAGTTGAGCATGGCAGATACACCAGATAGAGAATTCTGAATGCTACACAAGGGGGAATGTAAGGCCAGGTGCAGAAAGGCTGCAGCTGGCAGTGTCTTCCAGAAGTGTTTGGGTGATGGGCACTGGCTGTATTTGTCAGAGCCTGGAGGTGTGCTCGTGTCTTGACAGGTAGATTTTGGGAAACTGGGCAAAAAAAGGCAGGGATGTGAAAGCTTCCTTTTAATATACCTGTGAAAATAATGGTCCCTTGAAGTGTTATTACTATAATTCATATTTATGGGATAAATGAATGAAAATATGATGTAGGAGAATCCACCCTTCTGTCTCTTTGATGCTAACTTCGTGCAGAGCAAAAGCTTAAGTGAATGGCATTGACTTGGCTATCTGATGAGATATTTGTCATATGAAAGAGGTAAATCAGATTTATGCTTGTGCATCCACAAGATGAGACACAGGAAAGGTGCGGTTGCAGTCACAGCTGCAGTGTGGTACCTAGCACAGTGCCTCACATGGAGCAGCTACTCCATAAATCACTGTCAAATGATTGATGAACTGACCTACTGAGATTCTGTGGTGCCAGGTCAGACAACCTGATGCTCCTATTTGTTCTTCCTCATGGAAAAATACAGTGATTCCTTATTGTGTTATATGCTGGCATTTACGGTAACACTAAAATTGGATTTTGAGATGTTTTGACTTGTAAAGAGGGGAAATTCTAGGTTTTTAAAGAAATGATAGTCCAAAACAAACTAGAAATAGTCTAGTTTGAAGAAAATCCAGTTTTCTTCAACTCCTGACTATACCCATGAATCTTAAAAAATGTGCTAATATGACATTGAATTTAAATCACCCCAAAAGTAGAATAGCTAATTAGAAAAGGAAAAAACTGTGAAAACCTACTATCATGCTACCGGTTTGCTGTGACTTAATAATGCAAGCGGTCAGTTCTGTTTAATACATTCAAAATAGTATTTTGAGTTTTTAATAAGGACATGATTAAATAACAAGACTTTTCATGGAAGCATTGCTATTATTCAAAGTCATTTTCCCCCTTACATCCAAGTATTTTTGTCAGTGAGATCCTTTAGCAAACTACTTTTATGTTATTACTGCAGTGCCTAAAAATGTCTTCTACTGTCCTGGGATAAATATTTGGTAAAGACACAGCTAACTTGAACTTTCAGCTTCTTAGATGCCTTCATTATTAGGCAAAACAACAACAAAATTGATATCATCATGTTACTGTGTTGATGGCAGTCTCACAGTGTGGCCCTCAGCTCGGTCCCTGTCCCTGCCCCCTCTACAGCTTGGGGAAGGAATGGGTGTGTGGGTGCATCTTGAACCCTGCACGCTCCTGGGTCTTTCAGCTTAGTGTCAGTGATCTTCAGTTAGATGGCAAACCTGGGCACATAACTCAGGCTTGAATTAAAAGGATTTTAAAACAATTAAAGAACATGTTAATTTAACCAGAGCACTTCATTTCCCAAGTGTTCTTGCTTTTGCTGTCTTTCTTCTTTCTCTAGCAGGTACCTGTCTGTGAGGCAGAGCTTTATACAATGGTAGAATTAAGTTGATTATTATGGAGGCCTAACTGTGATCATAGATTGAATAAAAAAGCCTCCTGAAACCGATCACCCAGAAAAATAATCACAGTCAGCTTGAAAAATGGTTGACATGCTTGTGCTGCTAGTTTTCTGGGTGGCTGGTGGGTCAGAGATACTTCACTTGGCATGTTCAGGGCTGTTAGGGCCAGATTCAGAGATTCAGTTCCTAAAGGAACAGTGATGTCCTACGGATTCAAGGTTTTTCTGGTGTCGCTTTATGCCACTAACATTGTCCAGTTTCCCTTTTTAACATTGACTATGTACACCACAACACATAACACATACCTTAATAGAAATAGTGCATGAACATACTGTTTATTCACATATTTCTTTGCATCCACAAATAACAATCTCATCTTTTTCAGGTTTAACCTTAATGAATTTTCAGTGATTCATTTCTGAGAGAGCTAACAGACACTTGTCTGCAGTTAAATACTGGTTTTATAAAAATTTATCCCTGACAGATTCAGAAGCTGATTATTATAAATACTTTTATCTAAGCTTCAAAATAGGTGCCGTGGTTTAAATAATACCTTGCAGAAAACCAAAACTTTTCATATAAAGCTCTTACGTGATGATGGTAGAAAATCTGGGAAATACAGTGTAAAGAAAATTAAAATTACCTACTAAAATTAAGAGGTAATGATTGTTATTTTGGTACAATCCCTTTCAGATTTTGTTCTGTTGGAGTGAATGTCTAATCTGTGTATATATACATGTATGTATATCATCCCCATGTGGTTTTATATACAGGTTTTATACTTAATATCATATCCTAAGCATTTCTCCTTTTGCTATATTTGTTCATTTGTTTCTACATGGTATTTGATAATATGTTTTTTATTTTTCTGTGTTTACTTTTTTTCCCTTAATATTGTGGATCAATTTTTGTCCTCCTGTTGTATCTTATGACTGGCTTTGCTGGTAGAAGTGAAATCTATAGAATTTTATGTTTATCTCACATCTGGCCATTTCACTGAGTTCTTGTGTTCTGGCTAAGAGTTCTTAATTTGATTCTTACAGTTTTTTTAGATATATAATTATGTCACTCATAAATAAAAATAATTTCTTCCTCATTTCTGTTTTTTATATTTCATATTTTATAATGTTCGTCAGAACTTCTAGAAGAGTGTTAAAGTGATATAGCAATATAGGGCATTCTCACTGGTTCTGATTTAATGAGAATACCACTTTTTTAACCCTTTATATATTAGCTATTGGTTTTAAGAATGCATGTTTATTACCAGGGGCTTATATTTTTTTAAGTCTATAATCAAATGATTGATTTTTTTTCACTGAATGCCTTGAGAGCAAATATTATTATTGCTTCTTCATTCATCCAATAACTAATGCTTATTTCAAAAATCCAGGCAAGAGATGATAGCGACTCAGGCAAGGATAACATCCCAAGTGCTGAGAAGCTGTTGTAATCTGAGTTAGCCATGATTTTGTGGATGTGGGAAGGCATGAGAGAGAGGAGTCCTGGTGATTTACAGGCATTTGGCTGAAGGGCAGGAAGACTGAGCTGCCATCAAGGAAGGCAGGGAAGGCTGTGTGAAGAGCAGGCTTGTGGGAAAGATCAGAGGTCCCATTCTTAACATGTTGAGTTAAGCAGAGGCATTTAATAAATGGGTTGTGTGAGTCTGGAGCTTAGGACCAAAGTCAGGGCAGAATATTTGGATTTGGCAGAAAATCACTGGCATATCCGGGTATTCAAAGCCATGAAACTGCAAGTGGTCTCTAGGAGAATGAAGGTAAGTGAGGAGAGAAGGGGAAGAACCAGGAGACTGGGAAGGAATAACATGAGGTAGGAAGAATATGAATTATCCTCAATGTTGCAAGTAAAAATCATATATTAAGTAAGTGTCAAATGATGCTGTCATTTGTTAAATTATATCAAATAGGGACATAGAATTGACCACTGAACTTAGGAATGTAGGAGGTCATTGATAAGATCTTTTTCAGTGGGTGGGAAAATGAGCTTTAACCCCAGCAATTCTGCTCTTAGGTCTGTATACCCTAGGAATCAAAGGGAATCTGTATGTTCATTGCAGCACTTATATGAAAGAAGAAAAAATAACCTAGAGATCTATTAATAGGAGAATGAACACCTGAATTGATGCACATTAAGAGAAAAAAACAAAAGAAAATAGGAGAAGTGGAATTAGAGATGGTGAGTGTAGTCTACCATGAGGAGTTTTAGCAGAAAGAGGGACAAATAGGAAGATAGCTAATGGGAGAAGTGAGTCAAGAAGAGGTTTTTAAATTTTTTTCAGGTTGAAAGAAATAATACCACATTTATACCTTGATGAGAATGATTCAATACGTGATGAAAACTTGGTGATGTGGGAGAGAGAGAGAAAATCGCTAGAATCATGGTTCTTAAGCAGATAATCAGGGGTGACATCTAGTGTATACATGGAGGGACTGGTTTTAGAGGGCATCCCGGACAGTTTATCTATGGTGAGCAGGCAAGAAGACAGAGCATGGAAATATAGACTAGGATAGTGCGTGGTTCTCCTCTGATTATTTTGCTTTTTATTTTGAGGAAACTAGGTAGCGAGGTCACCAACTGAGATTGATGTTGGGGAGGAGGTGTTGGAAGTCTGAAGGAAGAGGAACATACTATTTTGTAATAGTAATTTTGGAGAGAAAATGGAAAGGGGGCATGCGGTTTGCTGATATCATGTGACAGCTTGGTAGGACGCAGGGTCATGGATTGAAAGGGAGCCCACTTGCAGTGCACTTTTACCCAGCCGCATTCTGCAGCACTGGTGCTGGCATGGGGCGAGTGGAGCATTGGTTTAGTGAAGGGAGTAATGGGAAGAGAGAAGGCGAGGCAATTCTGTGAGGCTGGGGAGCAATTATAGGAATTTACCATGGAAATGAAACTGGGTAAGGAGGAGAGCATGGACAGTGACAGAGTGGCAGGATCTGTGGGTGGAGGTCCTGGTGGAGTTGAGAG